TTAAAATCACAGAAGTAGGTAATCACAGCTTTAGTAAATACCTCTTTTTTTTTTTTTTTTTTTTTTTTTTTTTTTTTTTTTTTTTTTTTTTTTTAAATTTACTTAAAAGCTTTGTAAGCAAAACTGGTGAAAGAAAGAGGCCTTCACTACATGGCTTATTTTACTGCTGTGCCATATATGGCATTTTAAAAGAATAACCTGTAATGCAATCAGAACAGATCCATTCTTCAGTTGAGCGTTCTACAGATTTTCATCAGAAGAAAAAATATTGAAAACAACTGCAAAGCAGGCTTATAGTATTTCCATTTTGCAGCCTGCAGGTGTAACTRTGGCAGTAAGAATGGAAGTTACAGTAGAAATACCATTTCTTCCGAATCAATTATAGCAAAGCATTGTGCAGTATTTTGGATTAAATATGAAAAGAGCTTGTATAATCACTTTGTACATGCCAAAAAAGCAATAACATGAACCAAAAATACAAATTACAACAGAAAAACACAAGTGTGGCTATTATTTTTCAAAAYATTCAGTGCTTTCAAGGCAAATTGTTTTGTAAAATAAAACACAAACAGTATCCTTTAACCAAAGAGGGAGGAGGAAAAAAAAAAAAAAAACCCTTTTAAACAAAAGTTTAACTATTTTTCCATTTTAATCATGAGTCCAAAAATGCATTTCAAAATTTAATAGTCACAGGCTTCACTTGCAATGAGAGTGACAGATTCCTGCTTGACGAAACTCAGGGACACCGGTTTAACACACATTTCACCATTCTGTATATGCCTGAAACTTCAGTTAAAAAAAATCTTTTGAGAAAGATGCACACATACCTGTGGCACAACATCTTGAAGAAATGTAACAACACTTTCCATATATGACTGTTCCCTTGAAAACAGAAAGGGAATTTTTAGTTACCACTCAAGTTCACAAACGGTCAGGAATATATTCAGTTACTCTCATGACCCCAGAAAATGTGTCTGCTGCTTAATACAACCAAAATACTAAGGTGTTTGCAATGCAGATACTTACTATACAGCCAAATACACTGTGATAACATTTATGTTGCCGATAAGCCTGCAAAGAGTGGATAGCTATTTATGATACAACTGCTCAGGAAAAGGAATATAAAGAAGCCTTCAACTCTCAAGCCTACAAGGGAAAAAACATGTCCTCCGCATCATTTCAGTTTACTAAAGCAGAGCAGAGCTTTGGAAATTATTTCTCCATAATTTCCCCTCAACTTGGTTTAAATAATGTACCATGAAGAAAAAAACAATTGCCCTCTGTGTGTTGCAAGTAAAGTGTAAGCCCTGACACATACTATACGCCATGATGAAGTTGAACAACATGAAACAGTTGTTTATAGCAGTTCCATGGTAGGAAGGGGGAAGGATGAGCAAGATGCTAACTAAGAGGCGCCAGGAGGTATTTTCACTTAAGTAGTTATAGCCCAGAGAAATTATTCCTCCTACAAAGTTCATTAAGGGCAATAATTTAGAATATTATGTAGTGTAAGATAGGTTTGCTCTGGTAGATTCAAACTGATGCTTCCATTAGCTTATCTTCACACAGGCAGCAAGTCTCTTGTGTAACCGCTGAGAGGCATAAAAACGCAGACTGATTTACATTAGACTGACAGTGTTGTAAGTACACAAAAAGTTTGTGCTGTCATGAGTAATGCTGAAACATGCTGGCAACAAGCGCTACATTCATAAAGTTAAGGTTTTCTTAATCATTTCAGACTATTTAGCTAACAGTTTTGGCAGCCTTCAGATCAATTTTTATTTTGGTAGGCATTCTTCCCACACTAACGGAAGATTTCTAAGAGCAACAAGGATGGACTGTACCAGCAGAATGAGGAAACTCAGATTCCTGATGGCCAAAGGCACAGAGCTTTTCTTCATGCTGCAACACCTGACCATTCTGTCCATATATAACTAGTTGAATACTCTCTGAAAACAAAGATAAACCTAAGACTGTAAATTATAAAATTYGGGAAAGTTTATTCCAGTCCATGAATAACAAAAACATGTTTTGGTCAGCAATCCAAGGATTACTGAATTAAAGTAAGTTTGTCATACTGCTTAAAGCAGAGGTTTATAAATACAAGCTGTGGTTTCCAGTGAGGATTCCTCTTTGATTTATGTAGGTCACCAAAACTGCCTTTGTACACCTTCAAAGCTTTCTATTACATAGCAAAGATATTTGTCCATCTTATAGGCATAGTATAAAATGCAACGTCCCAATTTCTCATCTGAATGTCCGCCAGCAAGAATAGCATCCTCATTTTTCAGTTGATAAAATGAGAACTTATTTTTTTCCAATACATCTTGATTTGTAAACAAAGCAGAGGTTTGGAAACTGTTTTATTCAGTGTACGTACTTCAAGTCTTTCTAAAGCTGAAAAACTTCCACAGGGATTTTTTTTTTAAGTATTTGAAAACACACACAAGAACTTGGCAGAACCTTCTAGCATTAGGGGAAGAAAGAGCAATAGGAGGAAGAGGTTGAAAGTGACTCTTYGTATTTAAATATCCTGTTATCTGTAGTACTAACCTCTGAAAGCAAACTAACAGTCACTGAAACAAATACTATAAGTCAACATTTTAATACAGTGCAATTTTACAGCAACAATTCAGCAGCATAAATRTACTCAGGAAGGGACAAAAAAGTCACAAAGTTACTTTACAGAACAAAGATAAGAAATAYATCTTCTAAACTGTATTTCCCAGCTTGTTTTGCCAATAAAAGTACTTTCATATGAGCACAGTGAAAATCAGGATGCCTGAGCGGAGAAGGATGGTCTCTCATTTTCTATATCTGACTGATTTCAGGGATCTCTTTTGAGGTTTTTGTTCTCTTGAGCAAAATAAATAAAATCTATAACTCCAATTACAGAAACGTTTTAATGACACGCTTATATGTTCTAATGCATCCATTCCTGTTACAAGATTATACATAGAATGGCAAGAAAGGCGCATGCTATATACTAGCTATTGCAAACTGAGTTCTTTCACCTACCTACAGCTAGCACAGTATTCAGCCAACATAATTATGTAAAGAAACAAGAAAACATTGAAAGATAAAGCACTCATTTTTAAAGTGGGCAACTTTGAAGGCTGGTCCAAGTTCTTGGTCTATTAGGCTTAAAAGGATCCCATTCAGGGAGACAGGTTGACCTGCCTAGTCCTAGGAGACAGGAACAAAACTTCTGTTTACTTCTTTTACTGGAGAGTTCTCCATGCAGCACAATTTACTGCCAACACAACTCTTCATAGCCAGCTCTGAAAGACAATTTGTGCCAGGCTCTTCTTGCACAAAAAGATGCAAACCCCTTCAATTAAGGGCTATTTCTCAAAACAAGCTTACGTGACAGCTTGTGGGCGAACGACCACTCCTCCCGTGCATCTGCTYGGTCGGCGTGGAGATTCTGTAGCCATTGCTCCTTTTCAGGTACCTGGAAGTAACACATTTCTTTTAAATAATAGTTCACGTAAGAGTTATTTACATTAGTTTCAGCTATATTCTTTAAGATGATGAAAATCTCTTCAAGAAGGAAACTTCAGTTATACAAACCTGAAAGGCACTGTGCCCCTTTCATAGTACTCTCAGATGAGATGAAAGAAAAAACTCCTTTTATATATATAAATATGTGTGTAGATATATAAAGATATTGGTATAGGTTCAGAGCTACTATCAGTAGCAAATAAAAACATTATTTATTCATGAGCTGTTATCTTAAAAAGCAACAGATACAAGAACTGTGCACAACCACAGCTGCAATATGTTGTATTCCTGAAAATCATGTAATTGGTTAGATTGAAGCTAACAAAAAAAAAAAAAAGTGATGGAACAAACTTTTTTTTTTTTTTTTTTTTTTTTTTAATTCTTTAGGGGATTTACCTGAACACTTCTGGTCTTTCATGCGAAAATTCAGAACATCTTACATGAAAGCTAAAAAAGACCACTTTTCCCCATTTAGCCATTCTATCTCCTCCATCCCACCCAACTAAGAGCCAACACAAGAGGAAGAGCAAAAGGCCAAGGCGGTACCAGCAATCCTTACCAGCATGTGATTCGCACAGCACGCACAAAAGCTTTCTAGTAAGTAGATAACAAAGGGACAGACACATAGGGAGTTAGACCGAACTGAACAAAGTTTGACACAGGTGCTGAGCGGCCTCAAGAGCCCAAGCGAGGTAAGGAGCAGGGAACGCTCGCCCGCCACCGCACACCTGGGCTCGCTCGGCGCCAAGCGCTGCCACCTGCGCCTCAACCGCGGGCACCTGCGGGGCGGGACGGGGAGCGCAGCCCCCTCGGAGCGGGGCGGGGAGCGGGAAGCGCCTCCCGGCAGGCGGCATTGAGCAAGGCGGCGGGAGAGGCTCCCACCTGCGCGGCCGCTCCCCGCGGCGCCGCCCGGGCCGCGCTCTGAGTCAGGCCGCAAGCAGCCGCCTTCCCGAGGGGCAGGCGCCGCGCTCCCCTCCCGCGCCGCGCCGGCCCCTGCTCCGGGGGGACCCCCCTCCATCTGCACCCGCTTCTCCCCCCCGCCAACGGTCACGCGGCACTGCCAACGGTCACCACCAACGGTCCACCCAACCGCCAACCCAACCGCCAACGGTCACCGCCAACGGTCACGCCGCGCCGAGGCAGCCCCCAGCCCCCTCCCGCGCTGGCCCCCGGAGCGCGGCCGCCCTTCCCGCCCCGGGCTCGGCCCCGCCACGAGCGCGGTGCCGGTGCCCGCACGCACCGCCCGCCGCCGCTGCCCTCACCGGCCGCCRCTGCCCTCGGCCCGGCTCCGCACTGACACTGTTTGGGACCCCCTCGGCCACTGACACTGCGCGCACCCGCACGCTCGTAGCCAATGAGGCGGYGCGGGAGGCGGGCCGCTCCCCAGCGCTGGCCAACCCGCGCGCCGTTCCGCAGCCAGGGGGCGGCGCGACGAGGGCGGCTGCGCCGCCAAGCTCGGTTGAGAGGCGAAGCGCAGCCGGCGCCGCGCTCCCCCCCCCAAGCTCGGTTGAGAGGCGAAGCGCAGCCGGCGCCGCGCTCCCCCCCCCGCCCCGCGCTTTGTTTACATCGCGGTCTCGCGAGAGCGGGCGCGCCCCCCCCCCGCGGCGCTGCGTCACGCGGGGGCTGTTTACCTTCCGCGGCGCCGTGAGGCGGCGCCGGAAGCGGCTCTGAGGCGGCGCGGAGCGAGCGCGCGCTCCGGGTGGGAACGCGGCGCGTCCTGCGGGCGCCGGCCCCTTGCACAGGAACGAAGCGGCGGCGCGGTTTGCCTCTGCTCTCGCGGCTCGCGTTAGCCGCGGATCTCCACCGCAGCGTCGCCCTCGGCGCTGGTATTAATTAATTAATCTCTGGGAAGTCAAGTGATGTGTAGGTGGACGTTGCGTGTACCGYAGCACGGAGCGTTAGCGCTTAAAAGCGCTTAGCGCTTCCCTGAGAGGAGGTTTTGTGCTGGGTTTTTCCCCCAGCTCATTGGACTTGAGGAAACAACGTCCGCCCAGGGAGCTGGATAAGCCTGGAGACGCAGGGAGGAAGGGTGGGAGAAAAGGGCACAGGGAGATGGAACGTCCGAGTCTTAATGAAAAATAAGTAAGATTTGGCACCCGCGTAGAGTCAAAAAAGAGTGAAAACCTGGTCTATACAGAGAGAGAGTGAAAAACTGGCCTCTACAGAGAAAGCCTATACAGAGCACCTTTTTGTTCTTTCACATTGTGTTTACATTATAAAGAGAAATAAAATAATTCACCTCCTTACGTTTTTATTGAAGTCAGTCACCATTTTAAAAGGCTGTATGCTGTGGTTTAAAATTGAGGATAAAAACGCACAAAACAGCCATGGTTTGTTGGAAAGGTTGCTGATAAGATAAGCCATTAGCATTGATACATTGATATGATGCTAATTTCAGCTTTACCATTAACCATATTTTGCCTCCTCTGTGCAGAAATAAAATCTTGAAGGATGCAATTTGGACAGAACGTTGCTTTCATCTTGCAAGACAGCGCTGCATTCGCTGGATGAAAGGGAATTCTGCATTTTCAGAAAGCCTGCGATTCCCTTTAGGATTTCTGTAACCACGGTAACATGTATAGATAGCAGGCCTAATTTCAGCTTGTGTTTTATTGTTCTTGCAGTAAAGGATTAGTTTCTAAAAATATCACCCCAGGCCTTGCAATAAAAATCACTCTGTTTTAATGTGGAAGTAAAAGCCAAAATAAAGGTAAGGTGAATACTGCTACAGTTTGTGTAACAGACCAATTTAATGTGAATTGAGACCTGTGCTGTAACAAAACTGGGATTTTATTGTGGGATGCCCTGTTTTATAAAACATACAGAGCGAAGGACAGAAGAGTCCTTTTGAGTCCTGCTCAAAATAAGTACAAACATGCCTAACGGAACCTAAGCTCAGGGAACAGGGGGGAAAGAAAAAAATAATGCCATCCCCATTAAGTTTTCATTTGTTTTATTTAGGTGAACATACACATGGTCCACATACTCGATGAAAACTATCATAAAATAATTTAAGAACTTAAGTTGAAAGATATTAGCAGCACCATCAGTTATTAGAATAGCAGAAAAATCATGCCTCTGAAGGGCATACACTTATGCCTGACTAAAAAATCCATCATTTTTAACATGGGATGGGAATGGTTTTATAGGATGCTTTTAGGAGGTGGATTTTTAAAACACACACTTTTTTTTGCTAAATACTTTGACGATTAAGATTACAAAAAATACAACTAAATAAGATACTGCATAGTATTTTAATTAACAGAAAGAAATTGACATTGAGCTGTGTAAAGCAAGACTCAACATCTCAACTTCCACGTTACATTTCATTTCTGAGTAGAGAAATCTAAAATTTAAAAACAAAATATAGACCTAGTGTATTCTCTAAAAGACACGCTTTAGGTGGAACGTATAGTACTACGAAAATACATATCTTCCATTCTGTTTAATAATTTACTTTAGTTAAAAAGTTTTGAAATCCTCATCACAAGAAGCTTATACAAATTCATGACTTTAGTAAATTAACAAAAAAGTTCTTTTTTAAAACAAGGTTTAGCCCCGCTGTAACAATTATACAAGGAAGAAAAGAGACTACATTTATATGAAGGAATACAAATTTACACACATTATACAGTGACTTATACCCTACACATCTACAAAATTCACAGTTATAATACAAGCAAGTACAAGGCTGGGATAAAGCTGTCGGATACCAAAAAAAGTTTCTACTTTAAAAAAAGATAAACGGGAAGAGTGTCAAACTTGTGCACCGACTTTAAAGGAGACCAAAACGCGCTTCCTTGCCCGGGTGCCCTTCAGCAGACGCACACGGCCTTCCTGGGCGGGTGGAAGAGCGAGCTGCTGAGCTTCTTCTGTCCGCGAAGGCTGCGGCGCATGGTCAGCTTGCTGGAGCTCTTGCGCTGCGGCGTGGTGGACATGCCCTCCGGCTGGGCACCGATGCTTCGGCTCAGGCTACGTCTCGGCTTCTTCGTAGCCGGGCCAGAGTTGGATTCTTCTAATGTCCTTTTAAAGGTCGCTGTGGGGGTCCTCTCGGCGTCTTGGGCTTTTGTTTGGCCATGAGGAGACACCTTGAAGCCTTTTTGGTCCGTGCCTGAATTTGCCGAGTTGGAAGGGGAGAGACTGACGGACAAGCCATTAGTGTAAGATTCGTGTAACCTCAAAGCCAAAGCCTTGCCGCTCTTCTCCTCCTGCGGGCCGGAATCCTTTAAGGTTGCTCCTGCTGCAGACCCGTTGCTTTTGGCAATCTCGCCTGGCAGCTCTAAATATTTTTCTGAGATCGTGTTACTATGGGTGAGGGAAGGAACAGACTCGGAAGCGTTCGGTCGTGGCCATGGATCATCCTCTAAAAGCTGAGGAAAAAAAGAAAACATAATTATGAATATAGTAATTACACTTCCAAGATTCTCATAATTTGCAGACATATCTTTTCATGTGGAGGGCTGTTCAGACTTTCTCAGCCTGTGTATCTTCTTTTTGCTGGTATAAAAGGGGTTAGTTGTTCGAGGGATCAACACACACCTTCTTTTAATCTAGAAAAACATCTACAAAGCAATCTGATTTTCACCATTTTCACCATTTTTTCTTTCCTCAGACATACCCTGATCTTATTTGTCACGGTTCTTCCGAGGCTTTAAATGCCACCAGACAGCCAAGCACCRTGAGGGCAAACGGCAGAAAAAGAGTCTTCTGACCTTTGCTATGTTTCGAGTTCTTAGTTACTGCGTAACCAGATAACTAAGGACACGGACAGCTCTTCATGGTAGGTGTGCTAAGCACATACGAAAACACAGGTTCATCAGACAAAGCTATTCTAAAAATAGAATTAATGTTTGCTATTTCCAGCTAACCACAGCTAAATAATGCATTTTATTGCCTACTTTTATGCTTTACAAACATGGAAAGACAGCGTTATTCATCACAGTTCATCTCTCTCTCTCCCCTATAATGCA